ATTCAAGCAGTCAATATTTCTATTGTTATTACTACTATCACTCAAGTGCTTGTATTTATCATTATTATTCCATATATACACACGGTTTTTTCTCACGAACACCATGACTTTTGAAAGAAAAAAATGTGCTTAATTATTAGAAAAAAATATCCTTAGAGTTTTATTTCGAACACCCTCTCTTGTTTATCTCAATCTCCGGACACTATATTACACATAATAATGAGCATGCCATTCCGAATTCCCAGTTACACACTTCCGATCTTCCTGTCTTTTTCAATACGATGTCCCGTCCAAAAAGGGTTACGAACTCCTGTCAAAGATTTTTAAGGACAAAAATCATTTCCGAACACTTGTACATATGACCGGAGTCTGGAGTGACTTAGTGCGAAATGTCCGTCACCCGCTATGATACATTACAGACAATTTAGCAATGCTGTCCTCTTCAGCGTTACAGACTGTATCTGAAGTCCTACATTAGACTTCGAAAACATTATTTCATTCTTTTTCTTATGCAGTATTTATTTTTGACAAGTGTCACGTCCAAAAAAAAATAGAAAAGAAAACATCTGCACTAAAGTAATTCACACAAGTGATGATTGTAGATTAGTACCATTCACTATCTTTGTTTTTGTCATTTTCATGCGACCTTAAATTATGTAATATCGCCGTACTTGTAAGCTGTCATTAATTTATAAAAACAAAAAGAAAGTTGCCTCTACATATCTCTAAAATGTTGAAAAGCTCATTTATTCAGATGCATTCGTTTTATTAACATAGTTTTCAATGATTTTTTTTTTTCTTCAGTGGTTGATAAACCAAGTGATCGTCAAACAGTATCAACATGGTTATCTAGTCTAAACCAAGATACAACATTTTCTTATTTACCAACAATTAAACCTATAGATAATAAATTAATCAATCGTGAAATATCTTCACCACAAATTCATATTGATGATGATTTATATTTGGGTTGGACATTATTTAAAAGTATTGATCGTCCAGATTTAGGTTTAAAAGAAGAAAAACCACGTATAATTAATGTTAAACATTTAGCACAAACTTTTGTTGTTGGTATTCCTGAAGAATATGCTGATAATAAAACAAAAGGTAAGAAAATAATGAACTTTAAAAAATAATTATATATATATATTCTATATAATTAAAAGCTATTGCAAATAAAATCTACCAAGGTAAATCTATACTTCCTCGTTTACCCAAATCTCGAATAATTAAAGAAATGACTGAATTTGTTTCACAATTATTTCATATGCCAATCATCAATGATGCTACTGTAAATTAAACATTTATTTTTTTTTTGACAATCGATATTAATTTATATTATTTTATAGCATTTTATTGTTCCATCAAGAACTTACAACGATATAATCGAATCGATGGATATATATGAATCAGAAATTACTCATATTGAAGATAATGAATTACAAGTAAAAAGAAAAGAATTGTTTTCAGATGTCAAAAAAAAAGTTGTTGTTTTTTGTCATAGTTGGATAGGATTCATCAGAGTTACTTTTAAAAATATTGTTTCCCGACATATCCAAAGGATAATTTTTTTTTTTAATGAAAATTGATAAAAGAAAAATCAGAAAAGTCTACAAAAATTGAAATATGCAAGATATATAAAATCTTGATAGTCTTTGTTTTTGAATTTACTCGTCATTTAATTCGAAATTATATATATTCATTTTAATAATTTATTGATATTAGATGCGTGATTCACCAGAAACACTTGAATGGTATGAAGAATGTATTCAACGAAATGTTCAAATACATGCTCAAATTCCTACTGAATATCAACCATCGATTGTTTATTGTCATACAGGTCGTCAATCAATAATCACACCAGCTAAACGTGCTGAACAACGAAAAATGTCAATGGGAGGTGTTATCGAGAAATCAAAGGTGATATTAGAACAACCAGAAACAAAAGTGCCGGAAGATGTATCTACATTTAATAGTAGTTTTATTGAACGTCTTAGTCAACCATTACTTGATTTTCAATCAATAGAACCTGCATCAACATCTCGAACGGTGAATATGACATTTCTTTTTCTATTCAAAATAAATCAGATTTATTGACAAAAAGGATCAAAGATTTTCGCCTTCGAATAACCAATTTTTTTGAGAACTTTGTTGAAGATGAAGAGAAGCCTACATATAATTATGCAAACTACAAATTTTAGTAGACATTTGTTAATAGTGGCAATCGATTTCCTATTACAATGGCTTGCCTGAAAGAAATCATCCTTTGGACTATTAATAAATGACGACTTTTAGTGTCATGACCAGTGTTTTATCTAGGTTTCGTTTCCCGAGTGGGCGAGTCAACATTTCGGATGGGCGGCGCCGACTCGGCCCACCCAGTAGACGAATGGCTGCTATATATTTTCGAGTGGGCGAATCAAAACTTCGGGTAAGCGGCGCCCACCCAGTAGATAAATAAAAATCAATTTATTTATTCTAAATCTTTTGATAAAATCGTAATACTTAGCTTTGATTAATTCATCGAAAAAGAGAATTTATCATGTCGTATTTAACGTATTCTCTTTGAGAAGCAGTTAAAATATTGCAAGCAAAAATTTGATATTTTAACTGTATATATATAATATTATACAGGTAACTGATTTAATTATGCATACAGTAACAACTTCTCAAAAGACAAATTTATTAGAAGCATTAGAAGAATTATTTTCTCAAGAAAATCTTGATACATATCAAATAAGTGAAAATCATTGGCAAGATATATTTCTTATATTACTTAATTCATATCTTCGTTCACATTCATTAAATCGTAAAGAAATTTTTCAACGATTAACAGAAAAACTTCATGATTTAAGAAAACAAGAACGTCGACGTTCATCAGATTTTTATCCAAGTATTTCTGTTTTATCATTACCAATTGATGAAACAATCAATATATCAAATGAATCTGATATCATAGAATCAAAACAAACAAATTTTTATTTTGGTAAAATAAAAAACTTTTTCATTAATTCAAATTCTATTCTATTCATCATAGGAATACAATCATCATTTGATAGTACGAATAGTAGTCAAAGTCCAAATAATTCAGAAAATAAAAGTTTACCAACACTTACAACAGATCAACAAAGTATTATTAGTCAAGAAAAAAGACTTTTATCAACAAATAACAATCATATAATACAATCATTTTTACCAAAGTCTAAAATAATCTCTGATACTCTTAGTCATAAGAAGAATTTTCATTTGCAATCAAATATGGACAATATTGTTAATACAGTTTCTATGAAACATATCAATCAAAATTTATCAATTAATTCAAATGCTATTAATAAACATCAATGTTCTTCAACTTTGATAAAAAATCGTCGATATAAAATTACTGTTATGCATAGTGATGAACTATTTGATATACCTTCAAATCAATGTAAAACATCAACGGAAGTAATATTTTAAAGTTTTTTTTTTTTGCTATGACAAACTTTGTATGTTTCCATATAGTCTACTAAACTTCCTCCAATTGTACCTAAAAAACGATCATTTCAAACAAAACAAACTACATCAAAGATTAATCAATTACTATCATCTTCATCAATTACAACTAAACAGATTCGAAAGAATATATTTTCAGACTTTCGAAACAAATAAAATTAAATATTTTCAAATTATCTTCTAGTATATCTGAAAAAAAATGATTGTTAAATATTCATATCAATATAAAGTATGTAAAATATACGTAAAGATTGTAGTTCTAAAACTATTATCCAAGTTTATGATTAAAACAAAAAAAAAACTATCAACATTGCATTATGTTAATAAAATAAAATCTATGTCATTATATATTTTACTTTTTTTTTTTTTTTTAATATTAAATATGATTTGTTTCTATCGAATTTTTTCGTATCTCAGTAATAGATAAATGCATAAGTTAAACTCATTTTTGATACAGTTATATGTGCTCTTCAATTATGTATAAGTAATAGTTTTTATCATTACTTTCTTCATACTTAAAAAAGAATTTCGAACAAATTGCACACTATATGTTTCATAGATGAGAACTTTTGAGAATGCATAGACTCATTATCAACTTGTATAAGCAATATATGAATACTTATAGTACATCAAAACTTGAAGAAAACTTCATTTCTTAGAGTACCATTCGATGTGTCGAAAATTACTCTATAAAAACACAAGTATGACATTCTGGGTCAATGATTCCGTGAATTTCCCGTCGAAACTGGGTATCAGTAATCCGGTGACCGAATTCTCGCGATTTCTATTGGAACTGTATGTAATCAAGAAATTCCGGTCATCGGTTCCGGCCGTATGCCATTAATTTGGGATAGACCATCAAATCTGCTAACTTCTTTTGCTTGTTCTTATTGATCATTTCATCCTGTTTATGCAAGAACTTGAAGTTTTATGCGGTCAAGTTGACTTAATTCAATCTAAAATAAAACTAGTGTCAAATCTAGCATTTTAATCGAAAGTACGATTCGTTAATAGTAAAAAAAAGAAGCATGTTTTAAAATCCATTCGAGCCATATTTTATCCAAATTTTTTCTTTCGGTGAAACAATTTAAAACGTTGAGAAAGCAAACATCTGTTTTTGGAAGTATATACTCAACATAATAACGATAAAGTTTAGAAGGAAGACCTTTATTCTAAATACAACATTGTATTCATGATAATTTTTCAAAAGAGATATAGTCGATTGTTCTTAGTGTCCCCATCTAAATCTGACATTTACATAAGTATTCAACATTAGTCATATTCATAAGAAATATTATTAACATTACCAAAAAGAACAAAAAACATTATGATATGATGATTTGAATAGAAAAATAATTTCCAAACAATAATGCAAAAAATTTAAATTATTGAAGCTTGTTTTTTGTTTTTTTATATGATAAATATTATTATAAAATTTTCCTGTATATTCTCACGAAAAAACAAAAAAAAGTCGTAGAAAATAAAATAACAAATGTTTTTCTTTTTTTTTATGTTTGTGTTGGATTTGTACTACGTACATTTTGTTCATTTTGTAATTCATCATATGATGGTAATTTAGTTTCATCATTATCAATATTTGCTATTGCTTCAGGATAAGCTGGTGGTAAATCTGGTTTATAATAAGGTAATTCAATAGTAGATACTTGAGGTCGTATAACAGGTATACCATGAATTGATGATAGAACATTTGAAGAACGATTTGAACTACAAAATTTAAAACATAAACGAATAATAATCATACCAAAAACAAAAACAATTGAAAATATTGTAAGAAGTTTAAAAGCAAGACCATATGATCTATTTGGAGTAGGTTTATGAGATGTTGTTAAATATTCTGTTGTTGTTAAAGATGTTACATTTTGTCGATTATATAATTGATATTGATTTATCATAGAATAATTCATAGATCGATTAAATTTTGTTATATGTAAAATATTCTTATGAATAGATGTTGATATTATCTGTGTAATAAAAATAAAAAATAAATAGAAATATTGATTGTTATATAGTAAAATATGCATAATAAATTTGTTTGATTGAGATATATTAACAAATTATTCGACTTATTTTATTTTTTTTTTCTTTTGTATTTTATCAGATTTTAACGTCAAATGGTTTTTATCTTCATGCATGTCATTATTCTTTTGTCAATTTAGTAACAGCTATTGACATTACTCGATAAAAAAAAGAATCACGAGAAAAAAAAAAGATTGATTCAGATATAATAAAAAAATAAAACTCAAAAAAGAAAAGAAAAAGGAAGAAAAAAACTTCGATAAATATTTTTATTGAGACAAATAGTAGAGACGTTCTTTTATTTTTTTTTTCTTCTTGTTCTTTGAAATTGTTTTATGTCGCTTTATTTTAAATAATTTGATATGAAAATTTAAACGTTTTTGTTATTAAAGTATGCTTAAGGACCATGTTAACCAGGCCCCGCGCGAGCGGAGGGAGTGTACACCCACAAAAATAAAAACTTTTCAGTTTTCTCCGGCTACAAGAGCAGATTTTGTCCACATTTTATGATTTTTCTGAAAATAGCCCCTTACACCCCCTAATATTTGATCCTTCGCGAGGGCCCTGATGTTAATTTGCACTGAAATCTATTCCAATCAATTCTTTTTTCGATGAGTATGATAGATCTATAAAGGATTAGGGTATGATAAGAACCGAGAACATTCATCATCGAAAACTTAGACATTGTAAAAAACAATAAATATGATGAAAGGTATGGATGTGAGTATGAATAAAGAAAAGACTCACATCCATGTATACATTCATTGATCTTCCTACTGACGTCACCTGGAATTTTTTTTTTGCGCCCTTAAATTTTCACAGGTGAAAACACTTGTACTTATCGTTTTTTGTTTTAATCTTCAAATTGTAAGATGTTCATGACTTTTAATTATAAATTAGTTTAATTAATTGATATTTACCAAATATACTTTAATTATATAATTGTGCAACATATTTAATTTCGTTGTTTAATCTCTGTTTATTTTAATTAATATAGAAACTTTTTATTTCACTACATCTTATATTTCAAATTATTTTTTTTTTCTTTTAAATCTTTCATATTTATGTAAAACGTAGATGAACAAATTACACTTTAGTTTACAAGATTTAAATCTTTGACTTCGGTTTTTGTCGTTCATTTATATTGAACAACATTAACAAAAGAAGAAGAAGAAAAAACAAAATATAGATAGATAGATAGATAGATAGTTATTATGCGTACATACACACAATCGAGATTCATAGATATACACAAATTCTATATACCCTGAGAGATAATAGAAAAAGATATTGATTGACTAGTAAAATTTCTTTTTTTTAATCAATCTTTTTTTTCTTGTGTTGTTTCTAATAATGAAATCTGTTCAGATTTATTATTTATTGTAGATTTAATATCGTTCTCGATTGGTGTTAATTGTTTATCAATATTATTTGTATTTAATGGACGGTTTTGACGATAATGATGATAAATAGGCATTCGATGTAATCCATTTGTTGATGATTGAATAAAAGGTTTTATTGTATTATTTGTTTGTGAAATACGTAAATTATCATATTGAGATTGTAAATTTAATGTAGCTAATTGATTTGTTGCATATTGTATTGATGTAGAATTATTAGGTGGAATCATAAAAGACGGAGCTATAAATAATTAATCATAAATATAAGATTAACAAAAATAATAATTTTTAACCTGGTTGAATAAATGCTGTTTGTTGTGTTTGAGGATAAGAATGTGTTGGATATAAATGAACAAAAGGTGGTTGAGAATAAGGATTATTATCAACAATTGATGGTTGTATTACATCGGATCGATAAATCTAAACAAACAATATAAAAAAAAGTAATTTTATTAATTCATTTTTTATTCTTACAGGTAAATATTGTCCATCGAATGATAATGGTTGTTGTTGTTGTTGTTGTAAACTGTGCGTAGGAAATACATATTGAATTTGACCTGTTGGTTGTTGATGAAGTAATATAGGTAATGGAATACTATTTCCATGTTGAAATGTTGTTGGTGATAACATTGGTACATAATTATACATAGGTGAACTATTTGTTTGTTGTTTATAATTATGATCAATTAATTGTTGTTGTTGTTGTGGATAATATGAATTTATTGTTGTTGGATAGATCGGTTGAGCTAAAATTAAAATATTCAGAATAAATTAGCTATTATCAAATAGAGAACATTCATATAAATACAAAATCATATTCCATCAAGCATTGATATAAGACAAATGTATGATTTAAATTTAAATATTAGTTAGAAAAACTAAACATAATAAATTTCAAATCTTAGAAGATTAAGTTTGAAGCGTATAAAAATAAGGGGACAGTCCCATTTGTTTACGACTTACCCTTTCAAATTTTAAGCATAACAAAAATATGTTATTTTTAACAATATTATGATAAAGTTCACTTTAATTTCATTATAAAATGAAATATATTGTAGAAAAAAAAAGAAAGAAAATATTCAAATACTCAAATCATTAATCAATACAATTTTCTATATATAGTGTTATTTAGTAATATTTATCTTTTAGTATTCTCTAATGAAAATAAGAATATATATCCCAATAGAATAAGTTTGATCATATGCAAAAGCATTCAAATAATGATATATAAGAAAGTCAATTTTTCTTTTATGCTAATTCACCACAAAAAAAAAAAAAACTATATGTAAATGATAATTATTTACTTCTTGTATTAATTATATGAGTTGATGTTGGAATATTTGTTTGTTGTATATGATGATTTATATTAAAACGTTGTTGTTGTTGTTGTTGTTGTTGTTGTTGTTTTCGATTTATTTTATTTGATATTTTATCACGTGTTTCTGTATAATGATTTTTATGTTCAAATGATATTTTTTGATTAGAATATTTTTCATTTCGACGTGATGATATACGACGTGTTGTATTATCATTTGAAGAATTTAATATTATATTAGCACCATTAGATGATTCATCATTAGGAATAAAATTTTGAAATGAAATATTTGGACTAAATTAAATAGAAAAATCAAAAACAAGAAAATATCTTTATATTGTTTATACATTCGAGTATTTGGTGTTTTCGTAACAATAATTGATTGTCCATTTTTATCAACATTATGATCAAGACCATAAAAAGCAGCTACACGATGAACAATCATTCGTTCATCTAAAAAAAATTTTATTTTTGAAAAAAAATTTAAAAAAAAATATTCTACAAGAATTCATTGCTTGAAATTGATGTAATGTTTGTTCTTCATTTTGAATAAATTGTTGAAAAATTTTTTCAAGACTTAATAATAATGTTCGATCTTTTGGATTATTACGTAATGTTGTTGTTATAAATGATTCTGTATCAATACCAGAAAAATCTTTATAAGGATTTGTTATATCAATAGAAGATTCTAATATATCATTTTCATCAGTAGATAATGAAATAACATTTGTTGTTATTATATTATCATCGTTTGTTGAAAGATGATGATTATCGGTACAATTCGTCTAGAAACAAAAAAAAACATCACACATACTGAATTGTGTATTGTGAGAAATATTTAATTTTTCTTAAAGTAATGTTTAAAACATTAATAGTTCATCTTTATATGATAGTCTTTGAAGTAATCAACAATACATAGTTACATTTAGGATCGTGAAATACTGTAAATTTTATTTAAATTTTGTTTTATAGAAAATCGACTTTAAAATATTTTCAAACTTTTATTATACATTTTGTCGAATTTCTTGATTTTTCTAAATAATAAAAATTTAATTTGATTTTCTGCAAAAAAAAATCGAAACTTGAATATCAATAGTTTATTTTCAAGAAAGTAGAATTCGTATGAACATTCCTAGAATATCCTTCATTAAACTCCTTGAACTTATTTTCTAGTTTACATTATATATCACATCGAAGATTAGCAAATCACACATTTTCATTGTAATGTTTGTAGAATGAATAGAGATCCGACTGAGACCAGGAACAAATAAAAAAAAAATGTCTAAGAAATTTAAGAGTATTCGAGAACTATTTCAAACATAAAACCAGCAGATTCTAAAATAATTTCTTTGAATATAACTCAGATTAGAAATAGAATCCAAAATCAGAGTCCGGGATCAAAAAAAAAAAGTTAATCCTACATATCTCTAGAAATGCATTGTCAAAATGATACAAAAATCTTTTAAAATTTCAAAATGTAAAAAAAACAAACATTTTTTTTCATCAAGGTAAAATAATACATGAAATGTATTCTTCTATAAGAAAAAAAAAAAACAATACAAATAACTTACATTCTCCGATTTATCATTAGTTCCATTCTGTAAAACATCAAACTGTTCAGACGGTAAACTAATTTCTAAAAAATTAATAATTATTATTTTATATTTAATTAATTTTTTTTCAAACCATTATCAATATTAGCTGTTGTATTATTATTTTTATCAGTTTTTGTTATTGGTATATTTACACAACATGTATCAATAATATTTGCCATTTTTTTATTTTTATTTGAAATTTTAGTTCTTAAGCACCATTAATGGTGAAAAAAATATACAATGATAATCATATGAATCAACAATTTAACTAGCAAAAAAAAAAAGAACGGAACAATGTTTATTTTTGTTTAATGTCGATAAATTAAATCATTCACCTGTACATATAAATACTTGAGTTAATCAAAAAAAGAATATATTCATAATATATAGTATATTAACTTAATAAAAATGTACTCGATTTTTTTTTTTTTTTGTTTTTTGTATAAGACAATAACAACAACAAAAAAAAAAAGGCTAAGATTATTATATCTTCTTATTAATGTATAAGCAAATAAACAAAATGTCAATAATAATATATATAGATTGAGAAAGTAAACAATTGAAATTATTAGTTTTATTATATATATGATAAAAAAAAAATTAAAATTCATATTTAATTTTAATAAAAAAATAATATATTGAAATATTTTAATAGAAACAAAAAAAAATATTATTATAATCTTTTTTATTTCGTAATCATAGATGTCAGTATGAGACAATGTTGGATTTTTTCCCATATATTTTGTAATATATTTCGTTACATTGCATCATCAATGACTACATGTATGTCAACAGACAATGTTGAATTATAAATATGTGGTCTTAGAAGTCAATTATTGTTAGAGACTTGTAGAACTTCGTATATAGCTATAGATGACTCTGAAAAGTTATGTCATTTGATTAGATTGCTTTAGTTTGTCTAGAAAAATATTGTCTAACCCTATGAAAGTTTTTATCGCGTACTCTCTTAATCCTATCCTTGTTGAAAGTAGTGGCGAAACCAGAATTTTAACGGTAGAGGCAGAGGCGAATCTACAGCAGACGAGATGGGGCGACCGCCCCTCCCTTTGGTACTGGTTTCATGCTACTTTCTAGCGATTTTTCTCCAACATATTGTATGTTTATCGTAACCGCCCCTCCCTTTTGCTTAACCGCATCCCCCCCCCCCCCCCCTTCGAAAACTCCTGGATCCGCCACTGGGTAGAGGGGCTCAGCTGGTCAAGCTCTAAGTCGGTGGTGGGGCTTAGCTCCACCTGGCCACCCCCTGGTTACGCCACTAGTTGAAAGCCGCCTTTAAAAATCATAAGTAGTATAAAAGTATTACAGTAGAGATGTGCAGGATAAACTTTCTTTTGTATCCGATGTTCCGGCTGAGGAAAAATTTTCTAATTGCTACTCTACAAACCTCTAATCGAAAGATGCGTTAGTGAGATCAAATAGTAAAGTCATGAACAACTGCTGATAGTAGTAACTAATGTATATTTCAGAGTAAGGCCATCTTTTGATCGGCTATGGCTATCGAACTCGGAATTGCGTAGTTGGAAAAAGTCGACTCTAATGTATCTTTCTCTATAACTTATTTGAGTCTATAGACACTTTTTTACGACTATTTATACATCAGTATATTTTTTTTTTGTTTTTTCTACGATCTTTTTTAGGCATTCTAATCCTCGTTATATCAAATTGTAGCCAGAATTCAGCTGTATGTATACGGTAAAATTACCATAGATGAAAGTGATCTTGTTAAAGAAAAGAGATATGGATATGCCAAAAATTTACCATATATATATATATAGCTGAATTTCGGTTACAATTTTCTATAATGAGAATTAGCATGTCAAAAAAACAATATACTGATGCATAAACAGTCGTAAAAAAGTTTCTATAGACTCAAATGAGTTATACAGAAGAATGTATTAGAGTTCACTCTTTCCAACTATGTAATCCCGAGCTCGATAATCTTAGCCGATTAAAATATATTCAAAAAAAAATGGTCACGTCTATTTCACTCTGAAATGAATATTAATATATTAGCATAATTTGTTTTATTTAAACTTTGTAGCGTATTTAGATTTCTTGAGATTTTTTTTCGTTTATAATTCTATTATATAGAACAAAGAATAAGAACTAATGTATTCAAGTAATTCTATTTAGATTGATAAATACAAAAAAAAAGAAACGATGACTGCTAACGAAAATATAAATGACGATGTAAGTTAATTGTTTTTTTTTTCTTTCTGTAAAATCTCCTTTATGTTCGTAATAATCTATTGTTTAGACATTCTTCGATATGAAGAAGAAAAAGAAATCTAAAAATCGAATTAATCGTAGTGTACACATTGAAACAACAGTCACAGATAATGTGACTGAAGATGATGGAACCATTAATGATGTAGCAATGATCGAAAGTGACTATAGTTATAAATTTGTAAGTTAATTTATTTTAATAAAACTTGACAGATTTTCATAAATCTATATGGATCTAATAATGAAAACGATAAATGCATGATAATATAATAATACTAATTATAGAATTTCAAGGAAAATTTTACAAAAAAAAAAAATAGACTGAAGATTTTTGGAATCTATAGATGATTTATTAAAACTTTCGAGTTTGATTTTTCTCAATTTTTAAATAATATAATTTTTTTTGCAATAGTTAATTAATCGAGCATTTAAACTTATTCCTGAAACAAATCCAGTTCCACATAGATTGATACTTCCACCAGTACAAGTGGGACGCATTGGTACAAAACGTACAACATTTTTAAACTTTTCTTCAATATGTGCATTGTAAGTTATTTGATTACTTTATTTTTATATGAAAAAACAAAAAACAAAAAATTTTTTTTTTTTTTATTTAATTTTTAGACTTAAACGACAAGAAAAACAATTATACGAATTTTTCATAATGGAATTAGGTACAACGTAAGTAACAAAAGTATTGTCGGTATTTGATCTCTTTGGTTTTTTTAGAGCGTCTATCGATGGAAATCATGCTTTAATTATAAAAGGACGTTTTCAACAAAGTCATTTAGAAAATGTTCTTCGTTCGTTTATTAGTAAGATAATTTCAATTTTTTTTTTGGAAAATTTTGAAATCATATTTTTTTTTGTATAGGAGAATATGTGCTTTGCAAGACATGTCATTCTTCAAATACATTATTAGGAAAATCAGATCGTTTAACTATGATTACATGTAATATTTGTCATTCACAATATTCTGTTTCTACTATCAAAACAAATGTTCAAATTCATACTAACTCACGTATCAAAGAAAATTAATAAATATATATATTTTTTTTTATTTTTAAACACTTATTCTTATCTATTGTAATCCTATGTTTTTGTTAATAAATTGAATTTTCTTTAAAAAATATATGATTTATAGAGAAAGTTTTATTGATATATATATTTGAATATTGAGTTGACATTACCACCTTTTTTTTTTCTCCGTTGATGTTAACATATTATAATGAACTGCAGAATCTAATAATTTTTGTCTTAACTTGATCAATACCAGAGAATATCACATTCTTTGAGTTCAAAGTTTTCGGATTAAGATCCGGCCAAATTCAAGTCATGTATGATATCTAATCCTAGAGTAGAACTTTTTTTTTTGTTCATGTATTTGATACATATTAACTTGAAAATGTGTTTATATCATATGATTATCTTTTTATATACAAATGTCGAAATACTTTTATTAATTATGTGTAGATTTAGAACAGGTCATATGTTAAGCTCATGAAAATCATATGAAACAATCAACTAGAATAAAATAATAAAAATTTTTCTGATTACGATTAAAGAACGCTTGTTTTTTTTTGTATTAGTTCATCATGTTCATTGCTTAATCATTTTTAGACAATTTTCACTTTTTTTATTTGTGAATACGATTATGATAAAAGAAAAAATTTTCATTGATTGATATTCGTAATATCATTTAAAATAACATAAACATGATTTTATCTTTTGTTTTTTTTTGAATAACTATGTATATCTGAGATGATACTTGCAGGATTGAATTCAGAACTATACCATAATCTCTCCACTATTGTTCCAAGATAAATTGAAAACTTTATGTGATTTGAATACATTAGACTCAAGATCGATTTTTTGAGGAAGATTTTAATTAGTTTTTAGGCAGCATTTTGACAAGAACAAATTCTCAAAACTTTATGACACATCATTTATGTCAGTCTATTTAATATAAAACAAGAAATAATATGTTAGAATTAGAGAGCTGCGGGTCCATGTTTTTTTGGACCCGGACCCCAGAAAAACTAAATTTCCAGACCCGGACCCGGCCGGGTCTAGACCCGATCCTTTTCTCACCAATATTTTGGCACCCTATGTGTACATGAACAGAAAAGGGAACACAATTTTAGCTCTTTATTGGCGACTTTAAAGGTAAAATTATTTCTGACTGTTTCTTTTTCAATTTTGTTGACTTCAATTGTTATTGTTATATATTTCCATTCATAACTTAATGCAGACTGGGTCTGACTTTTCTCTTAGGTTTAGACCCGGACCCGAGTCTGGAAGGACCCGCAACTCTCTAGTTAGAATATATAGGCGATTTTTGAAATAAAACCTTGATAATTTAACAATCAGTCGCTAGAGTCAGTCAATATCAGACAGGAAGAAAATGGATTAGAAAATATGATTTTTATCTAACTGTACTTAATCAATGGTTGCCCAATGTTTTTTTTTATGGCATACAATGAGAAAATTGATTTGTTTGTATGTTACAGATCGTACAGAAACAAAATATTTGTTTCTCATTGCTTTCTTGAGTATCTTATGTTATATTTATATCTGTAAAAAAGAAACATATGTGAATTTTACAAAAACAAAAACATCATCGATTAAAAAAATAACACATATACATTTATTCACTGTAATATAATTTATAACAAAAAAAAAAAACCTTTTTACGATAATTGACTTCAACACTATACATCTGACAATCAGTGTATTGGTTTTTGTTCATCACGAAAAATATAATCAAAAAGATAATTTATGAAATTTATATAATATTTTAAATAGAATCAATTTAATAAATCGAATGTATGTTAAAAAATGACTAATTAATATAAATATAAAAATACATAAAAATGTAATGAATAAACAAAATAAAAATATATTTATATTTGTAAGAAAAATATTTGATGATTGATTTGATATATTTTGATTAATAATTAATTCTTTATATACATTTGGACAAAATAGTTCAGCTATTTGAGCAAATGGTGACATTATTTCAATTGGTATATTCATTGTCATATGATGAAAATAATGTATTGAATATATACTTGAATTTTTTAATAAAAAATTTACATTTTCTGTTGAACGACGAAAAAATTGTAAAATTTGCTAAAAACAAAAATTAGTTAACATTATCTTTATACGATTAAAATATAAAACACAATGTAGATGTTTTTACTAATCATTAGAAGATTGTTTTATTCTATCGATTTTTCAACATCCTTTAGAAATGCAATAAGGAAGTATTTCATATGTTATGACGAGACATTAACACGTACACAGTCTTTGACTAACATCTACATGGTCTGTAGGCGAGAGACTAGCTGAAATTTCGCCCAAAGACATATTCGACTCCGAGTTTAAATTAACCCTTAGATAATGCCTACTAGTCAACATGACGGAATGTAGTATCTAATAAATGTAATAAGGCTTGTTATAGAAGTTTATAAGGTCAATTTAAACCTGAGTCGAAAACTTCTGTACTCGGAATTCCTGTAGCCTTGAGGTGCTGTATACTCTAATATTTCTTTTAATTGTGTTTTACAAAAGATAAATTTAACAAACATACTTGATAAGATATTGGATAAAATACATATGATGGTTGTATATCAATTTGATGACATTTATCTTTTTCATGAATATACAATTGACTTTGATTACAAATACTTTTTAATGCATCTGTTAATGCTAATGGTCCAAGACAATTCCAACATAATGCATGAAATTGTTTTTCAATTGTTTCTAATTGTTTAATCATTTGTATATTTAATACTAAATGTTGTTTTTCAAAAACTAAAACAGCAACATTAACACCATAATTTGTTTCAAGTCCAACAGTATTTGAAAATAATTGAAAATTTTTTAATGGTATTACATCAAGATCAAAATAAATTCCACCATATTTATATAATATTGCTGTACGTATAAAATCACTCATATGTGAAATAGAAAAATAATTTATATATTGTTTACGTTGTGTTTTATTTAAATTTATTAATAATGTACCAAAATAAATATCTTGTTCATTAAAATGAACAAAATAAATATTATTATATGAACGTAAATGTATATATGAACCTTTTTTTAAATGTATATATTTACTACGCATAAGTACAAATATTAAACCATTTGGATGTAAACGTGCAGCTGATTCTATTGAACAAGCATGACGAGAAAGTATATCTTCATTTTTTGATGTTTGAACAAAAAATATTTTTAATTTTGTATTTATTAATTCATATTCTTTTTGAAAAATAT